TGTGCAAGGGTACGTGTGTCACTGTGTGGCGTGTGTGCAAGCATGTGAGTGTGTACTCCAGTATGCCTGTGCAAGCAGAAGCAGAGGTAGCACTGTGAGGCATCCAGCTCCCTTGCACCCTGTGAGTGCAAAAGTGGCAGAAACTCTCTGCTCCCAAGGGATACGGGCAGCCAGGAAGGGAGGGTGCTGGGTCAGGGCAGAGCAGCAACATGGTCCCTCCCATGCCATCTTTGATCAGACTGTGACTGCCAGGCCAGTTGTACAAACAGTGGGCTTGTGTGTGCACAGAACCTGTGGTAAGGGCTGACCCTGGGCTCAGGTTCTTTTTATGGTTTCTATGTGTCCTAGAAGTTGGTTTATTCCTACAGGACCATTGGTTCCAATCAACAGCAAGGTCCATGTGCAAGGTGGGGTCACAGAGCCCACAGTAGACAGGGCACTAACAGACTCAAGAGGAAAGGCAGGGTTAGCTCCTCTCAAGCACCATCAGGGTGGGTCAGAGAGCATGAGTCCTCTCCTGTGGGAAGCTCTGCCTGCACTAGGGTTAAATCCTTCTTCCTCTTTTTTATTTTTTTAAATACATTTATTTCTTTCTCTCTCTGTCTCTCTTTCTTTCTCTCATGCTCTCACTCTCAGTCTCTCTTTCTCCCTCCCTCTCTCTCTGTCTCTCTCTCTCCTTTTCTGATTGTGACAGTGCTCTTACCCAGAAAAACGCCAAAAGCATCGGTGCATGGCATGTGGCCCATGGGGCAGGAAAAGCCACTGTGCCTGTCCCAGCTCCAGGTCCTCACTGGCCTCGCTGACACTTCACTGCCTTTGTTCATATTTTGTCACCCTAGTTTGTATCCCTCACGCTTCTATTGCCTGACACTGAGCTGGGGACGTGTGAAATCATCTCACGTCATTTTCGTTGTTGTTCTTTCTCTGCCTGTTGGTTTTACAGCCCATTGTGTAGCCATTGTACAGGACAGATATTCACAGTGAACAGCAGCTTGCTTGTGCAGCTCTCCTGTCACCGTTGGCCTCTGTCTCACATGGCTCACTCTATAGCCAGCTCCAGAGCAGTTTTACTCGTTCCCCACGGACCCCATGTAGATGGGGAGGCCCCAGGTGCCGCCTCCATCGGCTCTGGCACCCTTCCACGATGGGCTCTCACTGGGTTTTGTTGGTACTTCCCATGAGCACCACCACCATTGGAAAGTGTCTGCTGGAGCTTCTCCTCCTTTTCTCTTGGCCACTTTCTGACCCTCATTGCCTAGCAGGGCCCTGTGGTAACCTGGAAGTCTTCCAGGGGCTGCACACTGGACCCCCTGCTTCCACCCAGTCAGCTTTTACAGCAAAAGTTCATAATGCTGACATGTGTTCTGCACTGGTGTCTCATCTGAGGAGTTTGAGCCTGACATTCAGCTCCTCCCTATCCTCCTGGGTTATTCTGTAAGCAGGGGGGGCTATTTCAGCTTCCAGTGGCTGCTGTCACACAGTCCACAGCTCGGTCCACAATGTACGGCAACAGTCCAGAGGTCAGAAGACTAAGGTCAGTCCCCTGCACTAAAATCCATCTGTGAGCAGGGCTTCTTTCTGCTGGAGGCTCTGAGGGAGGTCTCACCTCTTCATCTTTCCAGCCTCTAGAGCCCATCTTGGTGCCTGTACCCCTTGGCTCATGTCCCCTCCCTCCATCCTCCAGGCCAGAGCGTGGACATTTCCATCTCCTCTGACCTCTGCCTTTCCTCCTGGGAAGACCTGCGATCGTACCAGACCCACCCAGTCTGGAACAATGTCTCCATCTCAGGATCCTTCATATAATCACAACTGCAAAGTCCTTCTAGCCATAGATGGGCACACATTTACAGGTTCTGGTAATTAGGACATGGACTTCTTTGGAAGGCATTCATTAGCTGTCACAGGGCCAATTGCCCAATTGAATAGGAGCATTCATTTATGCTGACCCCAAATATTGGTGGGACCATCCCTCTTCTGTGTATGAAGTGGCTCTGCACTCTCTGTTCCAGTCTGTTATGGTCCTACTGCTCTATCCATGTGGCTCTATTACACTTGGCCCTGACCATGTGGCCCTAACCATGTGGCTCTTTGAATTCCTGTGCTTGATGGCAAGGCCTACACAAGCCCTCCCACCTCATTCTCCTGACATCTAAGATCTGAGAGTTAGATTTCCCTGCTACCTTCTTTTAGGAGGAGGCCAGCCTGACCCTCCGGGGCTGAATACAGAGAGCCGTGCCTGTATGTATGCCAGGAGACCTGAGCACAGAGGGGTGGGTGGGGCAAGACAATTTTTAAAGACCAGAGGCATCAGTGCTACGCTGGTCAGTGTTAACATAACTAGGGGACAGAAACCTCCCCACAGCTTGATGTGGCAACTCTAGTGACAATGACACATGAAAGGGTCCCCAAGGAGGGAGCTACCCAAGCTGGGGACCAGACCCTGCTGGACAGAATTTAGCCAAGTAGATGCCCAGCAAGGACAAGTGAGGGTTAGTGCAAAGGGCCCACTATGGACTGTAGGATGACAGTAGCAGGACAAGGGAGAACTTCACAAGCATCCACACTTGTGATAGCCCAGCAGTTGCAGCAAGAAAAATGATGGCTGGGCCAGGAGGTAACTGCAATGGCCTTCTGCGCCCTCTGCTGACCAAACTTGGCCCTACATGCAGGGTAGGAGCCAGGGAAGACAACTGTGGTCCTCGTTCCTCCTGCAAGGCCTGGTGGGCAGGGAGCCAGAGCAGCACAGGGGCGGGGCCACCTCCTTGGCCATCATGTGTGCAGCATATGTGTTTTCTGAGCTGATGGTGGCAACAGCGTCTCCACAGTACATGGGAGGTGCCCTGAGGGAAGGTCTGCAACCAGGAAAGGCAGGTGTGGACAGGGCTGAGTGGTCAAGGTGGGTCACTCCACATAGTGACCCATTAAGTCTCCAGGACAAGCTTTCTCCATCCGGCCTGGGATGCCAGGGGACCACAAGGGAGATTCCAGGTTTGCCTCTGGAACACAGTGAGCCCTGCGCCACTCTTCTCACATGGCTTCCTGGTGCCTGCTAAGGACATCAAGGGAGACCTTGTGTTCAGAGCCTACAGAGGCTGGATAGATAGCATGGGCTTCTGCAAATTCTGAGCAGTGTCTCCAGATTCCCCATGAACCGCAGCAGCAGGACCTCGGGGGCCTCCTGTGCTACCGTGCTCTTTGGGAGCTGAGCAGAAAGGCCCCATGTGTGACATCAAGTCAGTGGGACCTGGATGACCAAACCCGGGCTGGGCTTCTGCAGCCCAACAGCTGGAACAAACTCTTGACAGGACTGTCTTGGACCAAGCCTCCAAGCAAGCTCTCTATGAAATGTTCCTGCAGGTATCACAAACATTGGCCAGTTTCCTAACATCCTGCCTTGTTCGCCTGCTGGTTTGCATGCTGGCTTCTCCTACTTGCTTCACAGAGACCTCTCCTGGTTCATTCATGTTCTTCTTTCATTCAGAGAGTTCTGTGCAAAAATATGTGAGCTGATTTCACTTCGCACTCAGCAGGAACAGCTCCCAAGCATTCCATCCCTGGGTCAGATCCTCACTGGGCCTGGTGGACCTGTTTGTTCTGAAACATTGTCATGGAAATTGGGCTGTTTCTTGGCAAATTGCCCTCTCTCTTCTCATTTGGCTGACTTTGTGAGTGCATATAACGCAGAGGGCCACGTAGATAATGTGAAATAGAAAACAAAGGTGCAAAGGGGAAGGGGAAGTAGGAGAGATAGGGGAAAAGAAAGAAGGGAATGGAACTAATATGAGAGAAAGAAAAAATGGAAACAAAGATTTTGTGGATAAGGAGGGGTGGAGGGGTTGAAGGGAGAGCAGGGGAATGAGGAAAAACTAAGAACTAAGATGGATTATTTAAAGGTGCAAATTTCCAGTGATGAATATTGTATACTTTAAATATACCATTAAAATTAACTTTTGAAAAAAGAAAGCCCTTAGAGGCTCACAGCTTTGAATCATCCCTGTGGCAAGTCCAGGGCTTCCTGTTACCCCTGATTTCATCAGGAAAGACAGAATCATCATCCACCTTGCCACTTTGGGTGCCTGATATATTCTAGAGCTGTCTAGCTGCATGAAATCAGTGAGATCCCTGCCTTTAAAGTGAGACCAACAGGTGAATAAGCATGTTGGTATAAAGTGTACAGGATTGCAGGACACTGCCACGGGTCAGGGCAACTTCTCAAGGAGGTTCTGGGAGACGTATAGAGTGGGACAGAGCTTGTAGAGAAGGCTGGGAAGGGTCCAGACGGGAGCCAAGTGGACAGGAATCTCGGGCTGAGTCTAGTAGGGCTGTCTGTGATTTGCAGATACATCTGGACCACACAAGCACTGGCCATCCCTGATCAAAGGTCTCTGTGGTCCTTGTCAACACATCAAAAACGCTACCTATTGGTCTGGAGGTTTCCTGTTTCTCAAAGAGCCTTGACACTTTCTAGTGAAGTGAGCAAGCCCTTGACATTTTCCCAGGAACAGCAAGGCTTCTGGGAAGAGGAAGAATTGGTCAGCTGTTTTGTCCACAGAATATGAGGGCCAGGTCCTGACAGGGCAAGAGTAGAAGATATGGGGAGGCAGATGCCCAGTGCCATGCTTTGGCCTGCTAAGCCACTGAGATTATAGGTAGTGCTGTTATGTCCGGCTGGTTGTTTTATTTTCATTCTAACAACCTTCCCTCATGAACAGCTCAGGTGGCCCCATCCTCCCACAAAGGAACCACTATGACTCTTTTCCACCAAGAGTGATTGTGCCTCACAGCTTCAATCACTCGAGGGTGTGGCTCAGTGGCAGACGTGCTGAACATACAAAAGACCCTGGATTCCAGCCCCAGCACCACCAAAAAGACAAAAAAGAAAAGAGAGAGAAAAGAAAGAAATCAAACTACTGCAGCATGTTCCTTATTGCCTTGAGACTTCTTTAGCTCAAAATGTTTGGGGGCCACTCTACTGAGTGGGTTCCATGGGTCTCATCCAGTTCCAGCTGCTGAACACCTGCCTGTTTCCAATTTGGGCCTACACAATCTGCGAACTTTCTGACTCGTCTTTCTGTGCTTGCGTGGTTGTGTTGCCGGATGGCACAGTGTCCAGCGGTTCTAGGCTCTTTCTGTCCCACCCAAAGAATTGTCCAGGACAGCTGATGAACAGGTAAATGCAACTTTTATTTAAAGTAAGCGAGTCAGGCATGGTGTCACATACCTGTAATCGGAGCACTTGGGAAGCTGAGGCAGGAGGATTGCTGCAAGTTTGAGGCCAGCCTTGGCTGCAGAGTGAGTTCAAGTCCAGCCTGAACTACACAGGAAGACCTATCTCAAGAAAAGAGAGAGAGAGAGGAAGAAAAGAGAAGGGGGAAGAAGGGAAGAGGAGCTTGTAACCCCAGAACTTGGTAGGCTGAGGCAGGAGAATCATCCGGAGTTTGAGGCCAGCCTACACAGCAAAACTCTCTCTCAAAAATAAATAAAAAGTAGAAAAAATAAAAACAATAAAGTAAAGAAAGACAAAGGAGAAATGTGAAAAGAAAAGTAACAACTTTTTTTTTTTCCTTTGGTACTGGGGATCGAACTGAGGTCCTTGCACTTTTGAGGCAGGTAGCAGAACCACTGAGCTAAATCCCTGACCCAGGAAAAGACAAGTAAAGGTACATCCTGTTGCTCACAGGACAGGCCAGTGCAGAAGCAGGAAGACAGCAGAACAAGAGGATCACAGTGGCTGCCAAGTCAATGGTCACTGTGTTTTATACCCTGTCAGATCTGGTCTGTGGGAGGTTGCTCAGGTCAAATCCTATTGGTCAGCCTCTGTTCCTGATCTTGATAATCTACAGGTTACATCCTGTTTTCCAGCCAGCCCGTCATGCCCTCAAATCCCCTTCCTCTTTGACACTCCTCCCAGATGGCTGACTTTCTTTGTCACAGGGTGGGTCTGTGTTTTCAGACTGGGACTTTTTGCGGTGGTCTTCAAATCTAATGGCTGTGAGGTGACACCGCCAGGAAAATGTGATTTCACCATACATTTCCCTAGTGGCTCATGACCTTGAGCACTTTTTCATGTGTCCTTTGGTCATTTGGATATCTTAACTGGTGAAGTAACTTTTCAAATGTTTTGCTCATTTTCACTGGATTTGTTAAATTCTTTTTAGGGTTCTATATACATTGAAAATGCTATCCCTTTGTCAAAATCATCCTCTGTGAATATTTTTCCCACTCCATAACTGCCTGTAGAGTTTCTTAATGGTTTTTGTGAGCAGAAGTTACTAATTTGGTGAAGTTCTGCTTATCAATTTTTTTTTTTCATTTCTACTCATACCTTTTCCATGGGGCACCAAAAATTCTCCCTATTGTAAGACCTAAGGCCTTACTCCAAGGAACTCAACAGCCACTGAGGGCTTTCAAAATGTAAGACCAAGGGCCTTACTACCACTCCGAGGAGCTCGATTCTACCACTCCAAAGAGCTCAACAGCCGCGAGAAACACCCGGGAAGGCACACACCAGACAAGTTGGAAATGAAACAGACCTTTATTAGTCTGGCCAGATGGCACTCCAAGGAGCTCAGAGAGCCATCAGCTGAGGGGCTTAGGCTGTTTTTATAAGGGGAAGGCAGGGTGGGGGGTCTATACTCAAAGCACGTAGGCAGGGGGCAAAGGTTAATGGTCTGCTAGTCTATGCTGGTGGTCCACAGTCCTGTACTTGGCAGTCATGTTGATGGTTAATTATACATTGAAAATGCTATCCCTTTGTCAAAATCATCCTCTGTGAATATTTTTCCCACTCCATAACTGCCTGTAGAGTTTCTTAATGGTTTTTGTGAGCAGAAGTTACTAATTTGGTGAAGTTCTGCTTATCAATTTTTTTTTTTCATTTCTACTCATACCTTTTCCATGGGGCACCAAAAATTCTCCCTATTGTAAGACCTAAGGCCTTACTCCAAGGAACTCAACAGCCACTGAGGGCTTTCAAAATGTAAGACCAAGGGCCTTACTACCACTCCGAGGAGCTCGATTCTACCACTCCAAAGAGCTCAACAGCCGCGAGAAACACCCGGGAAGGCACACACCAGACAAGTTGGAAATGAAACAGACCTTTATTAGTCTGGCCAGATGGCACTCCAAGGAGCTCAGAGAGCCATCAGCTGAGGGGCTTAGGCTGTTTTTATAAGGGGAAGGCAGGGTGGGGGGTCTATACTCAAAGCACGTAGGCAGGGGGCAAAGGTTAATGGTCTGCTAGTCTATGCTGGTGGTCCACAGTCCTGTACTTGGCAGTCATGTGTTGATGGTTAACAGCTGCTTACGGAATGGCCCAAAGTTTTCAAAACACTCCTTCTCGCAGACAAGCAGTGAAACAATCTTATCTATTCACCCAGAACTACTAAAGGTTCACCTGTTAATTTACATTAATCACAGTTGAGGCTAGGAATTTAAGATTACAAAGTTACGCAGTCCCGCACTATCACCACTCTGCTAATTTCTCCTGTATTTTCCCATAAATCTTTGGAGTTAGAACTTTTCCTTTTAGCTCAACCCATGAGTCACCCATACCAAGTCGGTGTACAGGGTAGATTGAGTCAGGTTCCATGTGGACATTCTTGCCTTCCACCACTGTGGAAAGGAAGGCCCTTTCCTCGTCACATTGTTTGATGGCTTAGCAGAAAATTATCCCACTGTGTGACTGTGGGTCTATCTTGCACTCTTCCTAAATGACTATGGTCTTTTCTGGTTTGTTTTTGTTTTTGTTTTGTTCTTGTTTTTAACAGTCCTTCTCTCTGACTACATTGTCTTGACAGCTGTGGCTTTTTAGTAAGTCTTTAGTCTAAAGAGGTGAGTCCTTAAGACAGCTCTGAAGACACCACACATCAACTACATTCCCATACTAATTCTAGAGCAGAGTTTTTTCAACTTTTACAAAAGAAAACTGCTGGGATTGTGATTATGATTATGATTTTTGTGCCATTGTGAAACATTTTTATTTTATTTTCCAGTGGTTTTCTGTTAATACATGAATATAAAATTGATATTTTTGTATTAACCTTACTACTTTTCTAAATTCACTTCATAATGCTAAAATTTGTAGATTCTACAAAATTTTTCATGTCAATCAGTTATGTTAACTGCAAACAAAAATACCTTTACTTCACCTGTTATCTGGTATGAATTTTCCATAGAAGTATTTTACAAACTGAGAAAATTGCCTCCCATTCCTAGTTTATGTTTTCTATGATGAATATGTATTAATTTTATCCTTTTTCTGCTTCTATTGAATGACCATACTGTGTTCTCCTTGCTGTATTCATACACTGAACTATGTTCACTAATTTTTGTGAATAACAAACTAGCTTTGAATTTTTTAGCTCAGTCTCACTTGGTCATAATGTTTGTCCTTTCCATGAAGGACATTTTTCATTTGCTGATGCATTATTAAAGCAATGAGTCTGTGATCATGAAGGATAGTGTAAGGTAACTATTTTTCGGTATCTCTGTCTGGTTATGAGATCAGAGTCTTGCTAGCCTTGTAAATAAATAAGGAGATGCCTCCCCTTTTCAGAGCCTATAAAAGAGTGGTGTTATTTCTTCCTCAGCTATATGGTCACATTTATCAGCCAACCTGCCTGTTAAATGTTTCTAGATATTGAATGAATTTTATTAGACACTGGATACCAAGATTTTCTAATTCTTATTGCTATATTTTGTCAATTTATACTTTTCCCAAGGAATTTATCGGTTTCATCAAAGTTTCTGAGTCTTTGGTATGTAGTTCTTTATATGTTTTGTTTTGTTTTGTTTTGAGACAAAACAACTATGTAGCCCAGGCTGGCTTCGAACTCACAGTGATCTTCCTGCCTCTGCCTCCCACACGCTGGGATTACAGTGTGCACCACCATGACCAGCCTGTAGTTATTATTTTATTTTATCATTCTTTCAATATCTGTAGAATATATATACTAACTCCTGTTCCTTAATACTTTTAATTTGTCTTCTATCTTTTTTCTTATGCAGTCTAGCTAGGGGTTTTGGGTTTTGTTATTTTTTTTTCAAGGAATCATCTTCCACAATGTTTTATCTTTATCGTCTTCTTCCTCTGGTTTTTTTTTTTTTTTTTTTTTTTTTTGGTACCAGGGATGGAACTCGGGTCCTTGCTCTTGCAAGGCAGGCCACCAAACCACTGAACTAAATCCCCATCCCTTCCTCTGGTTATTTTTGGTCTAATTTAATCTTGTATTTTTCTATCTTGTTAAATTGGAATCATGTCACTAAATTGTAGATCTTTCCTTTCTTAAAAAAATACAAGCATTTAGTCTATATATTTCCCTGTGTTCCCTGCTCTAGCTGCATCCCAGAAATTCTTATGTTCTATTTTATCATTCTACTTAAAACACTTTCTCAATTCCTTTGTGATTTCTCCTCTGATCCATGAATTATTAGCGTTTGTTGTTAATTTTATAAATATTTGTGGTTTTCCTAGTTATCCTAGTTATGTTATTGTCATTAATTTCCTGTTTAACTTAATTGTAGTCAGAGAATGTACTATGTTTTTTGTTTGTTTGTTTTGTACTGGGGATCAGGACCTTGCACTTGTGAGGCAGGTGCAGCACCACTGAGCTAAATCTCCTGCCCTCTATTCATGCCATCTGTTACAGTGAATAAATCACTTGCACTTGAAAAGAAGGTTTGAAGACCACTGTCGCGCGTGACGTTGTACAGCAGCTAGGTGAAATCAGTTTATTCTTCACATCTTCTATTCCTTTACCAATGTTTTGCTTAGCTGTCCTATCCCTAGCTAAGAGAGAGGGTTTAGGGTTACCAGTTATAATTTTAGAATTATCTATCTCTCCTTTCATCTTGTCAACTTTGGTTCAGGTATTTTGAGGCTTTTCCTGGGTACACCCTGACAAGCACTGCAATCCTGTTAGAATGTCCCCTTTCTCCCAGTGCCACAAAGCCCTTTTCATCTGGTGATCATGTGCCTGCACCAGTCTTTTGGAGCTCACAGATGGATGAGAGCAAATGGCATTTTCTCTCTATTCTGTGCCTTCATATTTAAAGTGCTTCTATTCCAGACCACATGTGGCTGGCTTTGGTTTGTTTGTTTGTCCTTGTTTTTGTGGGGGGGTTTTAAGAGTAGGAAAATTTTATTTAGGGAAAGAAAGCTTCTAAGAGGGACAGAAGGGACTGGAAAGTAGGTTGCCCACTGACTCCACTTCTCCAAGATGTTTTATACAGCAAAGCCCTGTGGGGAAGGGGGTATAAAGTGGGACAAAACTGTAAAACCCAATGGAAAATTACAAGGTGGGCATGAGGTGGGGCAAAACTATGACCAACCAATAAGAGCAAAAGTACAGTCAGGTACTATTGATTAAGTGGGGGTCAAATAGGGGAGCAAATCATGTAGCAAGGGTACAAGAATTTTCAGTAAGAGTCGGGGTCAGAGATAGTTCCTGGAAAGGCTGGGTTAAGACCTTGGCCTGACACCCAGGTGATTGAAACCTATTTAGAAAATCATTCACTGCTCTTTATCTCCAGGGGAAGCACAAAGTTATAGTAGTTTCTCTCCTTTTACCATTCTGGCCACAGTGAATGTGTATTTATTGTCCTCCATGTTGGCTCCTTGCTGTGTTGGATCCTTGAGGGCAGCCCTCTCTCACTGCCTACAAGATATCTAATTAATTTACTTATCTACAGTATTCCGCCCTCTGAAGAAATATCACTAATTGCTGTGAGGGAGCAAAGGGAGAAGACAGCTCTGGCAAATTCCAGCTGAAGAGGGTCGTCATTGTGATCAGCAGTTAGAGTTCCTCTACAGAGGGTCTATCTAAAGGCCTTCAGTAGGTGCCTGGCATTGTCATCTTGGTAGCTACATAGCCTTTAAGTCTGGAGGAGACAAAGCCAAAGAAACAGTTAAGAATGCATGGGCCAAATTATAAGGTCAGCAGGATTGCGATGAATATAGCCCACAAAGAGGATAAGGAGAAGGTCCAGGGGAATTCAGAATCCATCACAGAAGGCATTTTGTACAGCTTAGCAGTTATGAGCTATTTACAAGGTCGATCTGGTGGATCCAGGTAAAAGAAGTCTAGCACATTTGTCACTGGTTCCATTCATATGACCACTTGAAGTTTGGCAGCCTCTAGGCAAGAATAAACAAAACTTTGAAGAAATAAGAGGATGCACAACCTAAGCATCAGCACACTAGAATGAAAGGGCAGGTTGGGGAGAAAGTCACACTTAGAAATTGAAATACTGATGGAACCTGCTGGGCTTAGATTCTTTCATTGATAGAGGTTATCTAATAAGTCTCATACTTTGTCACAAGTCTCTCTAGTTTTAATTGTAAGATAAGAGACAATTTGAGGAACAAATTTCACTAAGAAATATAAAACTCTAGCTGAGCTCTTATAGATTTTACCATAGTTTTTTTTCTAATGATCCACAATCATGGTCAGCTACTGGTAGAGCTGGAAACTGCTAGAAGGGGTCAGTGACTGGAGCCCCTTTTTATGTCTAACTTTATTACTATGGCATTGTTTTATACCTCTTTTGGTTATACTTTTCTGCTGTTTGTTTTTGTTTTTGTTTTTTCCTGTTCTGACAATCTCTGCCTTTGAACTGGATCTTTTAGTCTCTTCACATTTAATAGAATTTGATTTGTTTGAATTGCGTCTCCATTTTACTGTTTTCTTTCTATTTTTAAAATCTCGTTCTTTTTTGTTTTTGTTCCTTTGTCCTTTTTTTCTTCTTTTGTATTGTTTTAATTTTTTTATTTATAGCACCTTTCTATTTCTGTCTTATAGACTTTAGTAATTTAAGTCCATAGTATTTTCACAACTGTGTAGAATATAAAATGACTATCTCATGTAAAGTAGAGAAACCTTGGAACTTAGGGCCAACACTCTTTTATTCCATGTTATATGTCATAAATTACAAACTCCACACAGTGATGTTAAAATTCTGTCTTTAAACAATAATATGTATTTTTAGTAGTGTATTTTAAGTATTACAAAATGGTGGAATTTGAGAGAGTTGGTGCCTGTATTTAAAGTATCTTGATCTTCCTTAATTCCACTACTGCCTCTCACTTTTTTCCCCACCTATTTCCTTTCCTGTCTCCAGAAGTCTTCCTCTTGGTTTCCTGTTACCTGTCCTTTATTTTATTCATTTATTTGTTCATTTATTTGGGTTATCATGAGAGAGAAAGCATGCAATATTTAGCTTTTTGAGTCTGGCTAATTTTGCTTAAAATGATGGTTCCAGTATTTTGAAGAAAGTAAGAGAGAACAAAATTTTTAGTTACCCAATAATTAACATTTCTGTCCTTTCCGATGACACAAGCTTCCCCTAGGTACAACTTCCCTCTGACTGGGGAACTATATGTAACATTTCTGGAAGCACAGTTTGACTGAGGAGAAATTCTCAGTTACATTTTTGTCAAGAAATGTCTTTATTTTACCTCCATTCTTTTCTTTCTTTCTTTTTTTTATTGGAACCAGGGATTGAACTCAGGACCTTGTGTTTGCGAGGTAGGCGGCAGCACCTCTGAGCTAATTCCCTGGCCCTTACCTCCATTCTTGAAGGCCATTCCTTTGGCTACAGAATCCTAGCAGGTGAAGATTCCCTGTGGGCCTCCCACTCCCACCTCCTGAATGTGGGGTCCCATTACTGTGCTTGTGGGAACTGCACACTCTGCCCTCCAGGTACGTTAGCCCCCAGGAGGGAGCCCTTTCTAAATAGGCCCCACAATGGCCCCTTCAACAGGCTATCCATGGCTGGGTACACCATCTCTGGTACCCGTGGTGTCAGAACCAGTGTGCTTTCAGCCCCGTTTCCAAGGCACACAAGCTCTCTGCTGCATGTATCTGACATTTGATCACCTTGGTGAAGTCATCCTAACTCTTGTTGGAATGAATGCTGTACCTCCAGGACACTGGCCCAAAGGGGAACAACTTGCTTCAGAAGCTGCGGAGGGCTAGATGGGCCCAAGTTCCTCACCCTGAGACTTTGAGCGGGTAACCCCACTTAGTGTCACCAAAAACCTGTCCTCACCAGAGGTACACACACTCTACCCCTTTGTGCCTGTTCCACCTCCACCACCGTCCTTGTAAGGTCTCCAGCTGAGTCTGTAGCAGACTCCCACAGGCAGATGAGTGGCCAGAGCTCATCCATCAGGCTTTTGCTTCTCTGTCCTGAGGGGTTACTTGGCCCAAGGCCCCTCAGCCATCTATTTGTAGCAAGGAAGTGCAAACATAGCAGGGGATTCAGGTGCTCTCAGGGAGTCAACGCCCTCTGCTTTCTGGCAGGTTTTACCTCATCAGTGGAGGCCTCCCTTTCATCATCTGTGGGGTCACGGCTGCCACAAACATCAGTAATTATGGGACTGAAGATGAGGACACAGCATAGTGAGTACTGAGTACTAGCTGTGCACAAGACAGCAGAGGGTAAGAGGGTGGAGCCACTTGTCCACTCCACACCAGGGGTGCCCAGGACTCCTGCAGGCCGTGACTGTTTCCATGCCCACATATTGGTTGAAAGCTGGTTTCCACAGTCCTCCAGTAGTGTCAGTTCTGGTCAGTGACTTTCCCAAAATGCCCCTTGTAAGGAAGGAGCAGCAAGACCTGGGCCTCGGGCCCTGGGCCCTGGGTGCCACTCAGAGGTATGGCTCCCCTCCCCTTCCCTTAGGTGTGTAGAGCTGCCTCTCCCCTACAGACTCAGTTTCCTGCTAAATCTCTCTGGATGGGCACCAAAGGCCTGGTTTCCCTTAGATAGGAAGGGCCTGCGAGACAGATAGTGATTTGGTAGCATCCCTGAGGTCAGCTGAGAATGGACACCCCTGAGGTGAGCTGAGAATGGACACCCTGAGCAGAAACAGACCCACCCCGCCCCTGCCCATGCCCAGAGCCCTGGTCAGACTCTCCTCACACTCATGTCACCACATCCACCTTCTTCTCCCTGTGCCCCAGGACATCTAGCCCTGCCACTCAAGCCCCAATGCCCGCCCCCAGCCCTCCCTACTTCAGCCCCACTATTAGCTCCTGCCCATCACCTCTTTTACTTCCCAGTCCAGGTTACTTTCTTGTCACTTTCCCTGACCAGCAGGGCTGAGATCAGACCCCAAACTTCCATCTAGTGACATCTGAGCTGCCAGTGGTTGCTCTAGTTCAGACCCCAGTCATCAATGCCTGCACCTCTCCACCTTTGACAGTGGCAGAAGCTTTGGCTTCTTCCCTTTTCCATGTGATTCTGTCCCACAAAATTAGTCCAACACACTACAGAAACCCCCCTTTGCCTGCCCAACCAGACCTGCACTGACTGGCATCTCCCTGCAGTTGCTGGATGGCCTGGGAGCCCAGCCTGGGTGCATTCTATGGGCCGGCCGCCTTCATTGCCCTGGTTACCTGCATGTACTTCCTCGGCACCTACGTCCAGCTGCGGCGCCACCCTGAGCGCAGGTATGAGCTCAGAGAGCGCACAGAAGAGCAGCAGCGGCTGGCAGTACCAGAAGGAGGCCATTGCCATGGGGTGAGGCCAGGCACACCAACTGCCTGTGACACCCTAGTGGCCTCACAGCTCCAGAATGAGCACTCATTCAAGGCTCAACTGCGGGCCGCCGCCTTCACGCTGTTCCTATTCACAGCCACATGGACCTTCGGGGCGCTGGCTGTGTCTCAGGGCCACTTCCTGGACATGATCTTCAGCTGTCTGTATGGCGCCTTCTGCGTGACACTGGGGCTTTTCGTGCTCATCCACCATTGCGCCAAGCGGGAGGATGTGTGGCAGTGCTGGTGGTCTTGCTGCCCTTCCCGTGGGGACAACTCCACCACCAAACCCAGCACCCACCCTGTACTTGATGCCAATGGAGACATACTGGGGCACACCTGCCTGCAGGAATCACCGGGCCCTGGAAACACAAGGGGCTTCAGCCATACACCCACTGGCCACTGCAAGATGACCAACCTGCAGGCTGCCCAGGGCCACATCAGTTGCCTCTCGCCAGCCACCCCCTGCTGTGCCAAGATGCACTGCGAGCAGCTGATGGAGGAGGAGGCCCACGTGCACTTGCCTGAGGAGGATGCCTTCCCACACAACCCACACCTGCACAGGTGCCTCAAGGGCAGAACTAAGCCTCACTACTTCAGCCGGCACCAGGCAGCTGCCACTGAGCACGAGTATGCCTACCACATCCCCTCCAGCCTAGATGGCAGCCCCCACAGCTCGCACACAGACAGTCCCCCCAGCTCTCTTGAGGGTCCTATGGGGGTGCACACACTGGCCTGCTGCACCCAGGGTGACCCCTTTCCTATGGTCAGCCAGCCTGAGGGCAGTGACACCAGTCCTGCACTCTACGGCTGCCCTCCAAGGCTGCCCCCAGGCCCTGCCCACTTGGAGATGCTCCGGAGGACACAGTCCCTGCCATTTGGTGGCTCCAGCCAGAATGGGGTGCTCAAGGGCACTGTTCAAGAAGCCCTTTCATTCAGCACCGATGGGACGGGCAACATCCGAACAGGGCCCTGGAAAAATGAAACTACTGTGTAATGGGGACAGGAACAGATCACCCTCACCAGTGCCACCATGTCCCTGGAGGAGCTTCCAAGAAAAGAGGGAGCCCATTTGCCACATGAGGTTGGTGGGAAGGGTCACCAAAATGACCGAGCCTTCAGAAGCCACTCACACCTTGGAGCTGAGTTCTTTTCGTTGTGAAAGACCCCAGAAGGAAAATGTTTTGGGCCACACCTGCCTCTGTTAGTCCCAAAGTGGGATGTGGCTGTCCACATACTTTCACCCGCTTTCTGTTTATAGCAACCCATCTCCAGGGCAGCCCAGAAACAGAGTACAGGTTTCTATCAAAGAAGCTACCCAGACCCCAGGGTGGAGCCCTGCATCCATGCTGTATTGCTGGGTGGTGATCCAGGCAACCTCAGCAGAGGCTCTGTCTGGCATTTCCTGGCAGTGTGTGTGTGTGTGTGTGTGTGTGTGTGTGTGTGTGTGAGAGAGAGAGAGAGAGAGAGAGAGTGTGTGTGTGTGTGTGTGTGTGCATGTGTGCATGTGTGAAATTTTGCTCCAGGAACTGTGGTGGCCAGTCCTAAAGAGCATTCTCCCCCTGGGCAGTTTCCACAGATCCCCTCCAGTGTCCTTGTGTCTGTGTCACACCAGCATCTTCCCTTGGAACTTCTGCCAGCTCACTGAACCCTAACCCTGGCAGCACAGCCTGAGAGTATCTTGGATGTTGGAAGATGGGCCCCCACACTGCTTCTGGAGCTGTAGGCAAGGAAAGCAGCCAATGACTGCCAGCCTACAGAGGGCTGGTCACAGTCTCTTGAGGCCCATGCCTTCCAAGGATGCCCAACAGTTCTTCATGGAGACTCAGCTGCCAGACCCAGCCACTGTCAGGATTGGACTGGATTCCACTCCATCGTGGGCACTTCTCTGTTGCACAAAGAAGAGGAGGTAACTGGGGTATAATAGTCATCATAGACAAAAGTTCTTTTTCTTTTTTCATGTTCATCTGGACACAAAGCCCCAATGCAAAGGACAGATGATGATGACAGTGAACCTTTTGTGAAAAGCAGTAGCCTGTCCCTGGGGCAGTCCCCACCGAAGCTGGAGCACCTGTGTTCAGAGGGGCAGGCCTCTGAGACTGTGCACAGGCGTTCCTCTCTCTCCTCCCAGCCTGTGCCACATGTGCACACACATGTACACACATACACACATGTGTACAAGCACATATACATACACTACACACTTGGACACACATATATTCACATACTGTGCATATCACAAACATGCACTGAAAAGTACACATGCACACACCTGCAGAAGAGGCATGTGTATGAATGTGTGCACAAGTACAAAACACATGCGTATTTGCATGCATGTATCTGTAAACACATGTGAACCTGGGCGTGGTGGTACACACCCTGTAATCCCAGCACTCGGGAGGCTGAGGCAGGAGGATCGCTGTGAGTTCGAGACCAGCCTGGGCTACATAGTGAGTTCCAGGTCAGTTTCAGCTACATAGTGAGACCCCGTCTCAAAAAACCAAAAACAAAAAAAAACACAGGTGAGTGCACAGACACACATACTTCAGTGTGTACATACATACACATGCACACACATACTGCGGTGTGCACACACTTACACACGTACTCACACACTTGTTTCCTATCTACCCCAAGCCCTGGGTTTTCATTGCAGGTGCTCATGTCAGCATCAGGATCAGTGTCACTGTGACTCTGCTGTCTGGCAGGTGGCTTCCTGAGGAGCAGAACCTTCCCAGTGCACTCCTCAGACGGGAGCGTGAGGTGTGTTGCAGCACCTTCCAGGTAGGCACAGCCTGCGGTGCTGCAATGGAAAGTGCCATCCGGAGACCAATGCTCAGTATCTGAGTAAGGAGCCCGGCAGCCCTGATACTTACAAACTCATCTGTGATATTGTAACTTACCGCAGCTTGCGGCACCCAACACAGACCCCATGTGTCCTTACAGGTCAACCAACAGCAACCAAGGGCCTCGGTGGTTTAAGTTTTTGTCACTGTCCAGGCTTGTCACCTGCTTCCGTAGCTGATGCACACAGAACCCAAGGCTATGCTGTGTGCACACTGTAGATTCAGACCGTCCAGATGAAAATACATTATTTTGCACTGTTTGTCCTTGGTGAGGCTGGTCAATAGCATCCTGTGTGTGTTTCTTACCCTTGACAGGGGACAATGGTCCAGGTGGGGCTGGGACCCCATCCAGGCTGCTCCCTTGGGCTGTGGCCCCTCACATCCTTTCTGCCCCCCAAACCCCTGGCAGAACAAAGAGGACACCTCATCGTTCAACCAAAGAAATTCGGCATTAAATATTGAACCTCATTGTGTTTTGATATTGATTTAGCCTTGTGAGTCCACTTGAGACCAGTGTTGTGACATCCCCTGTGTGTGTCCTGTTGGCGAGTGCTGAGATTCACAATATAACTGCGTGTCGGAGCGCTCAACATGGGGCCACCCTGCACAGGACATGAGTCAGAAGAGCAGACCCTGTCCTGTTGTCTTGGGTGTTTTTTGGGGTTCCTTCCTTCTTCTGTGAATACATGTGTGGGTATGCTTCTCGCATGTGTGTGTAGTATGTTTGTGACTTGTGTTTGGGTCCTATAGATGTGAACATGCATGATTGTGAGGGTGTGGGTAGTTGTGTTTAGGAGTAAAGGTGTTTGTGAAGGTCATTGCATGTGTGCATGTGTGAATGTGCATGTGTGTGCATGTACACTCTCAAAAGACACAGCATGAGGCACCCCCTCCTCTCTGCACAGGTACTAACCCACAGAGGTGACATCCCTACCACACAAGAAACCTGTGACAAGTTTAATCACCTGAAATATGAGAGAAAATGAAAGTCACCTGTGGTGGGTCTGAACAGGCTCCTCTGACGTGTTTCTAGCTGAAGAAGCCCCCAGAGGTCCGTAGACCACACAGGCAGCTGCTGTCTCTCCTGTGAAGCTGCCCTATAGCTCCAGACAGGTCTCAGGTCTGAATGTACAGGTACCAGAGCTTGTTAGGTAGATTAAGAGCATCCTCTCACCTGCTGACTCCTCCATGAAGCCCTCTGGGCAGCCTCTGAATGAGTCATCCCTGTGAGGCCTTTGAGTAGCTGAGAGGCCTAAGGGGGTTCTAGTAAAAGTAGAGCGATAACCTGCCTCCCTGAAATTCTAAGAAACACAGCAGGCCAAAGGGAGCTCCTGGCCCCCAAGATCCCACCTGAGGAGGAAGGTCAGCACAGAAGATTGACCTAGCTATCAGAGCACTGACAAGAAAGCCTTAAGGTGGGACCTGCACGCAGATCCTTCTGCATAGGCAGCTGCACTGGGGGCTTCTGAGTTGCTCTGGGCTCTGGTGTCCCAGGAAATGGAGGCAGCACAGGAAGCTTGTCTAGTCCTGCCACCTGTCCTTGAGAACTCTTAGTGTCTCTGGTGGATACAGCTGGGATCTGCATGATCCTCAGCCTGGGGCAAAAGGGTGTCTGCTGGCCCTGAGGATTGCTGAGCCCTCCCCAAGACCCACAGATCTCTGGGACATCCTCCCATTACACTTCCTGTACCTTGGTGGTTGCCAGGATTTGTATTTGAATCTGAAGGCCACAGTAGCACCTCGATTGCATGATTGTCAAGCTGAAATAACAGCCAAAAGCTGTTCTGCAGCCTTTAAATTGGGCATAGCAGAGCCTCTGTCCATGATGGAGGACAGCTTTGAGTCTGTAAGAGTGGGTTATACCCAAGGAAGACAAGGACAAGGCAGGAGAAAGAAGATAGGATGAACACAGGACACTCAATGCAGGGGAGAGGCAGGACCCTGATGGGCATCTGGAAGGCCGTACAAGGATGGCTGCAGAGAGGCCAAATTGCAAGGTCTCAAGGCAAAATCTGAGCAGCCACCTAAGTCTTTCAGTCTTTCAAAAGGGAGGTAAGAGCTGGAAATAGACCACAGAGGCCAGGTATGAGGGAGAGGTGCATCCCTGGGCCACTGTTGGAAGACATTACAGTGGGTAAGGCCAGGCTTCAGGAAGGGGATCAGCAGCAGAATGACTGTACCACTTCATGCCCCAGCAGGCTGGGCATCCTTCTGTGGGCCCAGAAGGAGGGGTGCCAGAAATGGCAGGCATCCATCTGGGCAACTCCTACTACCCCTGGCCAACCTCCAGAGTTTTCTGGGCTATGGGGTCGCTGGCTTGAGCCCAGATGCACTTGCGCCACAGTCAGCCCTCCAAAGCCCAGGACAGAGGATGCAGACAGCCTCTGCAGAGCCTCCAACACACAGCAGCACCATGAACATCCCGGTCACCTAGAACCAGGCTGGCACTGGATAACCTATCTCTGTGTGTCCCAGCAGATCACCTGGTTCCAGGGACCCTGGGTTGTCCCCTTCTCCCCAAGATGAAATGTAGGTGCTGAGAGCACCATAGTTAAGAGGATACCTTAACTTAAAATTATTTTAATTCTGCATAAATGCCAGCACCTTCACAGTTTAACAACGGGACAGTCCTCCCTCTACAATTTAAGCTCTAGCTATTCCCCTGGCACTGTTCCTTTGAGGGGATCTCTGCTGTCAGGGCTACATTACTCAGCTTTCCATCCCTATAACAAAGTACCTGAGACAATAAACATAAAACAAAAGGCTCAGTTTGGCCTATTTGGTTTTACAGGTTCCAGTCCACAATCAGAAAGCCCATTGCTCTGGGCTTCTGCTGAGGGTCCCAAAGCAGTGATGGAGAGCACATGGCAGAGCTAACTGCCCATAAAATGCTAGGAAGCAAAAAGGAGGAAGAAGGAGCATGGGACTCACTAAGGCATGACCCAGTGACCTAAGGACCTCTCACCCCATAAAGCCCCACCTCCGAAAAGTCCAAAGCACCTTCCAGTGGCACAACCTGGGACCAAGCATTTACTTGTGGACCTTTGGGGGACACACATCCAAACCACAGCAAAGACATTACAGCCGAGGCACCAGAACTCAGGGCCTCCTCGACCATAGGTTTCCTCAGCCTGTCCCAAGGCAGAACCCCCTGCCTGATTATGTAGGTGGGGAGGATTAACAAGACCTGGCTGGGGTGAATATTCATGGTGAGCACATGCAAGGTGGTACCACTTCTCAGCTCATGCTGAAACATATCTGTACTTTACTGTCTGTGGCAAGACAGACAGTGAGTACTCACAGCTAAGGCCACAGGAAGTATGTGCTGGGTCTGACATGTTGGTCTATACCATGGTGGCCTGTGTCAAGGTGAGGTAAAGTCTCCGGTTTAAACCGCATCTCCACAATCCGTCCTCCAGAGGAGGCCTAGTGCAGGATGCTGGTGTTGGATAAGCTGCCTGGAAGAGGATCCTGGGCTTTGTTTCAGGGTCCAAGGATTTGGTGCCTCCGTGGAACAGGAGCAATGGCTTGCACCTGATGAGAACTGTTAAAAATGTATCCAGTCAGCTGCCTGCCTGCCTGCCTGTCCGCGATCACCCGGCAGCGTGCGCTCGAGCTCCCGGCCTGCGCGGGAGTCCCTGGCCTGCGCGACAACAGACTAGGAAGGCCCCAAAGACCCCAGAGGGGGTTTTTTTCAGCTGCCTGCCTGCCTGCCTGTC